AGTCCACTGTACTAACTACACATAACCCCACCTACCTTATCAGCCTCCCAGGCTTCTCACTACTGCTGGCGTCCTGTAGGATACGTGGGGGTCACTCAACCACAGGGCAGTCTTACTTCTGCCGCGTTCTTGATCGGAGGCTTTTCTTCCATGGCGGAGATGAGGGTGATGAAATAATGAGCTCAACCGTCAGAGTAGTTTAATAAAATAATACTTTATTCCATTACTGCGCATATGTAAATTGCCCAGCAGCCCGCGCAGCTTTCGCTACCGTCTCTAACGTCTTTCAGAACTTGAATGCGCTAATGATGTTATTGTTGCGTCGCCACGTAGCTGACGGACGCCTGTTCCCCACTCCGTCGGTCCGAGTGAAGTTGGTTGTGACCCCTACATACTCCCCTCTCAACCGGAATAAGGCTCCTACCCAGGGGATAGGAGAATGGAGGCATAAGGTTCCTATCCAGGGGATAGGATACCGGAGAAATCAGACTTCTATGCAGGGGATAGAAGGACGGAGGAATAAGGTTCCTACCCAGGGGGTAGGAGATCGGAGAAAAAGGGCCTCCCTCTCAACGATCACAGGGATCGTTTGGCGCAGAGTCGACCGAAGGGGCGCCACGGGGATCAGCACCCGACAGAGGAGCATGAGAATCGGTGGCTCTGGCACTTCTCTCCGAAAAGACCCTACCATGGAGGAGGCAAAAGGAGAAAATCCGAGATGTGTCGTAGTCGTCACGTAGGAGAGCGTAACGCTGGGCACCCTCACAAGGCGGACGGTATCTCCGTGACCAGGGGATCCCTCCACAGTACGTCGTCCCTTAGCCGTCGGAGTATGACTCCGGGACAGTACTTAGCGGAACGCGGTGAGAGAAAGTAGCGTAGTGGGGGCCCACTATGCCTGGCGTCGCGTCACGTCGCGAAACCCCCGAAAATCACTTGCGACGAAGAGAAGAACGGATAGCATGGCCAAACACTGGTAGCGTTGGCTATGCGTTACCGCGGGAGCTCAGCCGGCAGGCAGAGATTAATATTTCGCTAACAAAATCTCATTATATTATATTTTGTAGATATTTGTCAAGACCTTGTGACTTATATTCATAAAAAGAATCCGTAAACTTACAGATTTCCTGGAGGTGGGGGGGTCTACGGAATTTTTAGCCCAGCTCTACGAATTTTCAAAAATGAAAGGTGGTAAAATCACTAGTTTGCGACTCGACAGTCGCCTGCTGGCCACCACTGACATAGGGGTTAAGGAAGTAATTGTTTGGGAAAGATGTTTTTCAGGGTTTACTAGTAAATAAAACACGAACTTGAATCATGAAGACTTATACTGCAACCTAGTAATTGTTTATTATAATCGTTTTCGATCAGAAAAAAACAAAGCGGTAAATGTATATACGCATTATAGATTAAGGTTATAAAGGTATGACTGATTCTGTTCAGTAAAATAAAACAACAAAACATAAAAATGACAAATGATATAACAATTGATTGCTCCACTGCTACACTAAATTTCAGACCTCACTACTATTACATGGGTGCATTCAATATTCTAATAAACATTGATGGTGTTGCTTGTCGTTACTTTAATAAATACATACAACGTAAAGAAGACAAGTAGTGATCATTTCGTGAAGTATATTCTTTTATTTCATATGGCCACAAATATTAAATTTCAAATAAATTTATTTACCATTAGCATGAATACTTTTTTCACTAGTGCTCGAAAGTGTAGTAAAGTAGGTACAATGATATGTATGTATGCATGTGTTTGTGTGCGCGTGTGCGCGCCCGTGCCCGCTCTCTCTCTCTCTCTCTCTCTCTCTCTCTCTCTCTCTCTCTCTCTCTCTCTCTCTCTACATATACATACAGGGTGTACCAAAAATGTTGAAGGACCCAGAAATGGGAGACTCGTGAGGTGATTTGAAACAAGTTTTTCCTTAGCAAAAATGTTATCCGAGGCTTTTCTTTCGTTAATATCTCGATAACAAAGCCTCGGATAACATTTTTACTAAGGAAAAACTTGTTTCAAATCACCTCACGAGTCTCCCATTTCCGGGTCCTTCAACTTTTTTGGTACACCCTGTATATTGTACGTACATTACTTTATGATATGATATTTGATCATAAACTATGGTGTTAAATTATTCCAGACACCTTTCTATGTTTTGTCAGAAATTAGGTAGTGTGATACAATTATTCCTGCTTATCTTCTTTAAGTTAATTAAATGCATTGGCTCATTTCTCCAACAAATTGAATAATTGATTGTATTAGTACCGTGAACAGATCTATTTCCCATTAATTAATGAGACATTCCACGCAAAATCACACTTTTTGAAATAACATTTCAAATTTTCGTTGACACTCGGATATGTTGTAGTCTAAAGTATAGTTAAAAATTGTAGTTAAAAATTTTAAAAATTGTTGATTCAGCAGCTGTTTGAAATACAGTGTCAACTATTTTTCAATAAATAATAACTGTTGAACTAACAAACCGATCACAATTAGCTTTGTGGGTGCTTATAGTGGAGATATAAAAGTACCTAATAAAAATTATTTCAATTAAAAAAAAATAATTTTTACCATTTTTCTTGTAATCGTTTTAAAGAAATGCAATATTCTAATAGCGGGATGCTCTTTAAAAATTTGAAACAAATGAGGATATAGCCCTATTTATTCTCCTTATGGACTTTCCAAAAATATGGAGAATTTCAAATTGCCCATATAAAGATTAATTAAAGTTAACGGCACATGCAAGCTCATCGACTCGACCGGCCGAGTCGTGCCGGCTAGCCTAGTAGAGCCTGTGTAATTCAACGCAGCCGTTAATTTAAATTAATTTTCATATGGCCAATTATGAAGTTTTCATATTGGTGAAAATTTATTCATAAAGAGCACGATTAGTTCTATATCCTCATTTTGTCAAATTTTTAAATAGTTCCCCGGTATGAAAACAGGGCATTTATTTAAAACAATTGGAAAATAAATGGTTAAAAAATGTTTTGTTTTAACTGAAATAATTTTTATTAGGCACTCTTATGTCTCTACTATAGGCACCCAGATAGCTCTTTTTGATTGGTTTCTTAGTTCAATAGTTATGATTCATTGAAAAAAGGTTGACACTGCATTTCAAACAGTTGTAGAATCAACATTTTTTAAAATTTTTAAAAATCTTCGAGATACGTTTACATATCACTAAAGATTACAATATATCCCAATGTCAACAAAATCCGAAATGTTACTCCAAAAAGTGTACGACTTCGCGTGGAATGTCCCTAATGTTACTTGTGTAATTGCTTATTCAAGACACATACCATGTATAAATTCTTGTTCCTCAGTGCTTATATGAGATTCTTCTAAATAGAGTTAGAAGATTAATTATTCTTCTAATTATTATTCTTCTAAACAGTTTTATATTATCGGTATACAAAATACTGAATCGTATTGGCACATTTGCACGTTTGATACTTTTAAGTTTCAACGATTATACTTCGAGGCACACAAAAAAGATTGTATTAAAACAATAATACCAATTTGACATAATAAGCAACTTTCAACAAGGTGCTTCACTTCTCATCTGATAATAAAATAATAACATGTAATACAATCAATGGCAGTATTACAGATACATTATGTTTCAATTATTCAGAATCATTTTTATGAGAAATATTTGAATATTAATGGAATGTGTACTTATTCAGACTACATGTAAATTGTATTCACAATATTGATGGGAAGCATGTTGTGTTGCATTATAATAATGTTTACTTAAACTGTTGCTTTTTTGTACACTGAATTAACATTACATATAATAATTCTTTAGTTTGAAGAAGAAGAAAAGTGTACTGACACATCTATAGTCGACAGTATCATTTAAATTACTTTATGTTGGTCCACTTTATAAAATACAAATATACTTCCGTTTATCGTCATTACGGATATCATGACTATATAATGGTAAAATATTAATCAACATCACGTTTTCTTGTAATATATCATGCACCTGTAACGCATTGTAAACAAGCGTATTATTTTTCTACAGTTTCAATTCGTACATGGAGTTAATTAATTATTAGTGTCACAATGGATCAATCTTACAACCATAAAACTTCTCATTTATACAATAAACAGTCCAACTTTCTTACATTCTGCATGTTTCAGATCAATTACAATATAATAGAAAGATACACTCGGTGGAAGCTGAAATTAATAGACTTCTTGCATTATTTCGTAATTATATAATATTTGTAACATTATATTTGTTACGGAAAGTCTGGGGTACGAATTTTTTCAACGAATGTTTATAACAAGCATTGATTACCACTACTAGTTTTTGGACCATCAACTGACAATTTTTCTTTTGTTCCACAAATGGATACAATGGCAGTAATAGTGATATAATTATATTATTGCTATTGTTTGATTTGAAACTCTTGCTCGTTAATTACTTAATTACTCGTATTTTAGAATTATACGTAAGATTATTTTTTGTTAAAACAAAAAATTGTAAATAAGATTTTCATAACAAATATTTTTATATATTATTAATGAAACGTATTGTATAATACTTTTGTTAAATTATTCATATAGAAAATTCGTAGGATAAAATTTCCATTGTGTTATGTTCAGCTTTGATATACAAATATAATTAAATTTAGTAGAATAATTTTATTATAATCTATTTAATTAGATAAAAAATTTAGCATATTATTTATGTTAATATCCATCATCTTCAATAGGGCCTAAACCAAGTTGTTTTAACAATGTATGTAAAAATCATAAATTCTTAATGCAAATTGACAATTAAATATTCAAAACTGAGTAATAGTCCCTTGTCGAAAGGGTATTGCACAGGATTCTTAATTATTATATTAGTTCTTACTTTTAATTTCAATGACCACAAAATTATTCCATAAAATATTCTTAGATTGTATAATTCTATGTACATTTTTATAAAATAATATTAATTTAATATATAGATTTTTATATTATAGTCCCGCATGACGTATTACAATATATTATTTAATTACTTAAATATTCCATTAGATTATTAATGATGTGTACTCGTACATCAGATATGAGAGAATAAATTCCATATTACAAACAATGAATGTTGGCACAGACAGTGGCTGGGTTAAGGCACTTTGGTGTGATTAATTCTCCACAGTACCCTCCAGCATAACTATCTTATCACACCCCCTTCCCTTCCCAGAGCCCCTCATTGTGTTATTTATTTCTTTTTCTATGTATAATACCTTAGATGACTGTGTAACTCTCACTTTTACTATTGAAACTATTCTTAAGGTAGAATATGCCGTTTCAGTGAGCATTGTAGTATAACACCTGGATTTGGTGAAAACCTCACAGTGGTTTTGTAAAATTTGCTGGGAACATACCCTTCTCGTTTGTACCTTCCATGATTCCCATTAACCAACCTTGTTCCTAAAGTAACAAAATATTTTATTTTATTTAGAATAGTTATTAGTATTACTATAACTATAAACATGGTAATTAGAATTATTGTGGGCAGTAGTGACAAAAAGAAGGTTTAACTTCTGTGCAAAAATTGAGTAATTTTAAAAATTAAAAGAACATATACTTGAATTTTTCTAGGCATATTAATAAAAAGTGTTTTCATACTTTCCATTGATTACTTAGCAGCATATATACCAGATTGGTTTTGTTTACTGATAAGATAAGACATTTGAAAAAGCTTAAAATAAATTTGTAATTTCTTCTGTAAAAATAAAATTGCAAAGTAATAAATATCCTGAAACTACTACTACCGACTAGTTATAGAATAGACCTATCCTTCAATGTTTCTGTTGTCCCACGGTCGGAGGGTAAAGTGGGTGACCCGGGTCTCGATCAGAACCCAGTTACATATCAATCACCGACGTCCAAAATACTATTTTTAAATAGTTTTTGACTGTATTTCTGAAAGCCGATCATAACCAATTTGGCTGAAATTTTGCAAGTACCTTTATTTTACATAAAAACAACATTTACGAGAAGGATGTTTGGCGCTTCGAAAGTTAGGGGACAAAATTAAGAAAAAAATATTTACCATTTTAGTGTCACGCCCTGTAATTTAAAAAAAATATATGCTTTCATTTGGCTGCAATTTTGAAAATAGGTTCTTTTAGATAAAAACAATATTTGCGACAAGGATTTTTGATAACTCGAAAGTGAAGACTCAAACTTTTATTTTTATAAAACTATTGATATACAACTATTAATATTTATATAAGAAAAAAACGTTTTTTCGCATTTTTTGTGTTTTTGATTTTTCACAACCACGATTCTCCACCAAAAAATCACAAAAAAAAATCTCAAATACGTGTCGCGGTGGCCACTACCTACCAGATTTTTTTAACACAATTTTTGCATACCATTAATTACTTTTATTTTTTCATACACCAACTGATGGTTTCTTATTCTTTATAAAAAGATAATAGGTCTATAAAGATAATAGGTTACACTTGTGTCGAAAAATGATTCATTTCGATAATGAGTGACTTATCTGGATTTGTAAGCTTTTGGCGTTTTCCGATCAGCACTCATTTAAGCGATACGAAATCATAACACTTAACTGCAATATTTCGAAATATCAGACTAACCGATGTTTATAAGCAGAATTAAATTGTTAGTAAACACGAGTAGACGTAAAATACTCAAAATCTTTAATTTTGTATAAATATAAAAATTTAAGTTAACACATTGAAAATTTTGCAATGGAGATCAAAAAGAAAAGCCTTCGATTTGAACGTTTGGAAAATGAATGCAGTTTCGATGAGTTAAATCTTTTTTTTTCCACTACTGTATTAAACTTAAAATTTGTTAAATACATTCTAGGAAAGAAAATACAAACCTGTTCTTCCGGATCATCGTACTCTACCACGCGGATGATATCACCGACATCGAACGACAATTCGTCCACATCTTCGCGTCTGTATTTGTAAGTAGCCTTGACTCTATACAAAACGCCTGGCGGCAAGTTGTCAGTCGTTGCCCCTATAGAGAAATTGGTACCATTTTCATATTCCACCTCTAAAATAATTTAATTCGCCTCATTAGTCATGGACCTGTGATGTAAGTCGATTTAATCTCTGACTTTCATTAGTTATGCACAAAATAGATTACCAAAATCTTTTATTTTAACAATTGTGATACATAATTGAGAGTCAGAATTGTTAAGTTTCTTTTTGTTGTTTCAACAAGACCATGCATAAATAGGCAGGCGACATACTAGTAATGTAACAAAATTTAGTGTGACAATTGAAGGCATCGTAACAAAAGCAGCTATAGTCAAAAAATTAAAAAATTGATTTCATTTATTATGTTCAAGATTAAGAGTATACGTATAACAATATGTTTATACGTGGTATAGCTAAGTATTACCTATTAAACCGGACACAGTATACATATTTGGAGCTAACTCACGGTGACAATAGTAACAGAGAAATCAATAGACAAATTCATACTGTGTAAAACAAGCAGTGTATTTTATTTAAAACTAATGTATTTTTAATTGCATATTACAAATGAAAGAAAAGACGACCTTAATAAATCGGTAATTATTTACGAACAGGCACATCTCACTGATTTCGATGACCTTGAAATATGTTTGTCGAGGTCATCATTTTGAATAACGTTTCCTATACATATTATCGCCTTTCCGAGATATATGCAACAAAATTTAGTTAAACCTAGGTTACCAGTACGCTTCATTCTGGCGTAGGCGGTCGCCTAACGGCACATTCCCACACATATAGCTCAACTAAAATTGAACTCATTGATGATAATCGATTGTTAATATCAATAAATGAGAAAAATCAATAAGTTAAATAAACTATGAACGTTTTATAGGAAGAAAGACAAAACGGAAGATATGGGGCATATAATGGTGTATTACTATATAAGTAAACTGCAAATAAAGTGAGTCCGAATACTAATGTAACTTTAACACAATTTTCCAAGGGAACGGTTGAGTTGCGACTCATGGTTGCTTTCAGACTTTTTACTCGCATGACGAGTACAATATGATGCTCTAATAAAAAAGTTTGACCTTGAATTTCGAGGTCAAGGTTAATTTGGCATTCGCTTTGTTTTGCAAATTTCCACCGATCCAGAGCCGTAACACTGAATTTTCAAACACCCTGTACATAAGTAAATATGATCCAAATTGTGTCGTATTTGTAATGTTTCATGAATAAAGAATCAAAAATAAAAAAGTTTAATCGTTGCATTAGTGTGTCTCACCGACACCCTTGAATGTAACCTTTTTGTGGGCTCCCAATGTTCAGTCGTCAGCTGGTTAATGGGAACCCGCCTCGGCACGCCGGGGCAATAAAGCCACGCCCCCCCCCCGCCCCCAATGGTGGGGATGACGCCTGGACAATAATCATGGATCAACAATCAGTCAATAATCGCGAGGTCCCTGTAGCTCGAAAGTATATGTCACAAAGGATACAAAAATACAAATAAAAAATGCTATTGGAAGATAGTTTTATCTTTCAATGTCTGGGTTAGGTTACCTTTCAAGTGCTGGCAGTAGAAGTGTGAGTGTCAATAAACTCTTTTCTGTAAAACCGAGTTCATTTCTTGACAACAAAAAAATCGGCATTTTTCGTTATTTCTTTGGGATTTGAATTTTGACGACCAGGATTCTCAACCAAAAAATCGCAAAAAAAATCTCCAACACGTGCTCTGGTAAATACTATCTGTCAGATATTTTACAAAATTTTTTCATTTCATTAAATAGGGACAGGGGAGGAAAAACCGCATAATTCGAATGTTCCCTATTCGACCCTCCTAGACTATTGAATGGTATATCACAAGTCCAAATCGATCTAACAGCACTTTTTACCCCTTCATCCGGCTATATCCTTTGTGAGTTAAAAGGTATGCCAATTGATATTCATGAGTAGACTGCGGATTTTTATGCAAAATGACATTTAGTAAAATAATTTTTGAAGGCAACAGCAAAGATAAGAATTTCTTTCTTCTCTTAAATATCTTATTGTGTTCAGAATAAATTAGAACACACATTGCACCTGACGAAAGCTTTTTTCTCTATTGTATTACACAAAGCTTTATTGGCTATAAATGCATCAAATTCGCTGTCTATTCATGAGACATTGTGTTTAGTGGGATGTTGGGTTCGTGGTTAACACTGGATGGTATGTGATGTTGGTTTTCGGTAAATTTACCATATTTTTGTGTATAACTCGAAAACTAAAACCGAGCACCCATTATATGTGTAAGAAAAAGTTGTTCGGATTGATGATCTTGACAGCATATTTCAAGCATCGAAATCGGTGAGGAGGTAGCTATTCGATAAATTCACCGGATTTTATGCTGTTCAATTAAAATTTTTTGTATATTCTCGCTAAAACAGCGTATAGAAACGAACGCAAAAAAGTTCTGTAGTCTTAAAAAGTCACAATAATTTCAGATCCATATAATACATTTTTGTTGAAAAATTCGTATTTAAAAGATTTATTTCTATTTCAGGATGCAACGTACATGGTTTTCTGTCTAACAACTGATAGCTTAAGAAACACTGACGTAACCTATGATATTTACTCCCACACTGTACTTACCAACTGGTATATCGTACAGCTCTTCGACTCGTTTGGAGACGACGGCTGTGCTTTGCGGTGACGCATCTTGATTATTCACGGAATTATCATTGCTGTTAGCATTGCTGTTAGCATTGCCGTTTAATTGAGTAGTCGGTGAGTTGTTTCTTTCTGCCGGAGCCGATTCCTCCACAGCTGTAACACGCAACAAAGCTCACTCGAAACTAAACACTGAGCCACATAATTACGCGTTCGACGGCTTCTTATGTGGCCTAACTACGGTACACGCATGCTGAACATTTATATCATACACAAACAGTTCAAACGCAAAACGACATTGAATATATCTAAATGTGACTAACATATTTACCTGGCGAAATATTGTTCTGAGCAGGCTGCGTGTTGATTATTAAACTGAAACAGAGAGAAACGTTACATATTGTCTTAATGCCTAACATAAAGGAGTGTGATTTAAGGATCTTTTTTAAGTATTGCAAAACTAAACGATTAATACTTTCAAAAGTGGATAAAAGATAGGAATGTGCGGATCGTCCTGAGTCCCGGATACCCAAGATTCAAGTGGGTAGTCTTTCGTACAAGATATCCTTCTGCATAAAGCAGTCGTTTCTGCACTGCATTTTGTTTAGATGTACAGTAAATGATTACCATACCACACTTTTCAATAACCAAATAAGATATAGTGAAATCGTGTTTGGAATCGGTGGTAAGATAACTATTCAGATAGGAATTTATCAGACGACATGACATAAAATCCAGAATTAATACAAAGTATTAAAAAATCAATAAAATGGTGGTAGTTTAAAATAAAAATATTCGAATACAGTGGACTCTACCTATATTGCCATTGTCGGGGCTGTAGGGGAGTAAAATGGCAAAGAGTTCAGAGCCCCCTCTATGCCAAGTTCTATGGTCATAGCCTTGGGCTCAGCGCCTGCGCAAATGTTGGATAGTGCTGATGCGCCAGCGTACGCAACGTGGTGGGAGAGCGAATTTGTGTGCTCGAAATTACGTGTGAGAGGGCAGTGTCTCGCGTGGCAATATAGTTAGAGTCCACTGTACTTAGAACAAAGTATTGGAAACACAACGAATAGCACGGCGACAACGACGCGTGTTGATAGTGAGTCGTTTCGTAACCACCATGCAACATGCAGTGCTAGCGATAAACAGAATTGTTCAAAACCAAATAAAGTATATTCTATCAGTTCACGGGGACTGTCATTTAGGGAAACCTTCCATCACAAAGATTTGCCTTTTTGTAACGAAAGAAATAGTGTATTAGTGAATCCACAGAATAATATTCAAGAAATCTTGCACATTGATTTTCTAAATTTAATTTTGGGATGGTCAGGTTTAAAACAAATATGATTATTGTATTGTAGACTACTTGTTTTGTAGGACTATGTCATGGATGTCGTCACTCGGCAAGCAAAAAAGGTATATTCGAACGGTTTACTTACGAAGAGTTAGCATTCGGTGATTTCGGAGACTGTGGTTCTGTACTTTTCTTCAGCGTATATGATCCTCTCTGACTTTCGTTGGCCAATTTGTCAACGATTGCCTCCAGTTCAGAATACACCTAAAGTAGGACACATTTCAAATGAACGGATGAATACTCAATTGTATTATAAATGTACAAAATATGTCTCACGCGTTTGGGGTCGTATCTAGTTGGGGTACCATATGGCGCTTTATACTTGTTATCAATTTTACCAATTTAATTTGAAAGATTAATATTTTAAACTAATTCAAAATACTGAAATGGAAAAAGTTTACAAATAAGTGGAAAAAACGAAAAAAAATTTGTTTGTAAATATTTTTTATCCACGTGTTGTGGAATTATTTTCAAGAAATACAATGTTATAACAGCAGGGCACTATTTAAAAATTTGAAAAAAAAAGTGAGGATATTGTCCTATTTATCCTCTTTATGGACAAATTTCAAAAATATGGAATCTTTAAAATTGACCATATGAAAATTAATTGAAGTTAACGCTGCGTCGCATTAAATGTAAAAATAACTCAAAAGTTTTGTAAATTAAGTCCGCAAACGTACCTTGGCACTCTCTGTGTGAAACACTTGCTCAGCAGCGAATAGGGTCTGCAAATTGGTAACGAGGAAAAGAACACGGGAATCGTATAACGCAGGCAGTTCGTCATGAAGTTCCGAATTGAGTTGTTCGTAGGTACGCTTAGCTTCCTCCAGTAATTCTTTTCCTCGAGAAACTTTAAGTTCGTCCCGCTTCCTTGGATTACATTGCAACGATTGGAAGTTGTGTCTCTGGCTATCGTAATCTACGAGCTTCCGTCCACGCTTGTCAATCTTCTTCTAAAAATTCCAAAGTAGTAAGGATTACCAACTCCATTGTGCAATCTTAATTACGTTATTGTTTTAGTACATGAATCAAGAAGCTATAACAGAACTGAAATAAGACTATACAAGGTATTTCATCTAATTTGTTTATCTTCATACATTTATCATTTTCAGCCGCACAGACAAATTCACTGAGTAATTTGCATTCTTATCCTCAAGGTCATTATATAATATTCAAAATCGTCGACTTTTCTATGCATTGTCGATATATTTAATTATTATTACGCTATTATACTTTGTCGTTATGATTAATATTTACATTATATCTTTTGATAAAATGTTTCTGGTAAAGAATTCATACATATAACACGCACGTTCCTACTATCACATTTAATGTTTCTGTTTCACCTTTTCAATAAAACGTTTAGCATGTAGAATATGCTAGTAAAGGTTGATCGTTTAGCTTTCGAAAACCCTGTATACGAATTGTTTGGAAGATTACTCTGTTTCCTACACAAAATTTCGCAATAATATACAGGGTGTCTCAAAATAACTTCGACCTCCGGAAATGAGGGAGTCCTGGGATGATTTGAAACAATATTTTCCTTAGCAAAAATGTTATCAGAGGCTTTGTTAACGAGGTATTAACGAAAAACCCCGACCAATTAGAGCGCGAGCCTGCCGGATGATCTTCCGCGGTAGCGTTGGATACGCGTTCCGATTGGTAACCAACGCTACTGCGGAAACTACTAATTCTATGTACACCCACGAGCAAACTCAGCTTCCACTAGGGGGAAAAAGCGGCGTAGAAGAAAAGTCTTCTACCACTTGGCAAATTTATTCCAGGTAGGGAAATAAATGTTAAATCGAATGTTAATTTGGCATACATTTCAGTAATTCCAAATACCAAATGGTAGGAGGCTCTTTCCTTACGTTACTTTTTCCCCTAGTGGAAGCCGAGTTTGCTCGCGAGAGTACACCTGCGAGCAAACTCGACTTCCGCTAGGGGAAAAAGTGAGGTAGGCATCTGAACATTCAGTGCCGTGGAGCTTTCGAATACTCATCGATGAGTTACAGTATTGTTACTGCTAGGGGTTACGTCTGGGTTAGGGCGTCAAATTGAAGGGTTCTTGGCAGGACTATAGCATTTAAGACAACGCCCATTGGGGGGATGATCTATGTATATAATGTGCTTATTTTTATTTTCAAAGCAAATTATTGATTTTATATTAGTTACAGACAGTTTAAGAAAAATAAATTGGTCTATATTTTCGGAATGGAACGTTTGGGGTAGTCGCGACCAATGTTGTTAGATTTCTTTAGTCATAAACTTTCCAATGGTGTGGCGCATCCCACAGTGGATGTCAGCCTAACTGCTTCAGTGCAGCCCTATATATTTCAGTACGTTTCACAATCACTTAGTGGCAATATGATTCTTAGAAAACGAGAACCTTATTACGCATTCTAGATTACTGAATGTAACATAAACAGAAATGTCAGTAGTTTACAAAGCCACTAAGTTGGGGAACCTAACCCAGAACCTTATTACGCATTCTAGATTACTGAATGTAACATAAACAGAAATGTCAGTAGTTTACAATTGTGAAATGCAATTTGTGTTGTATGCGTATTTTTGCACAGGGTGTCCTAAAATGATGGGACAATCAGCAATATGCATATTCCTCATGCAATACAAATCGAAAGGTCCTTTTGTAATCAGTTAAGCGAACTCTAATCAGCTGAGCGTTGAACCAGACGTACGCGCAGACACAGTCAAGAAGCCGATACCAATAACATGGGTCGTAAGCTTCTTGACTGTGTCTGCGCATACGTGTGAGTTCGTTTAACAGCTAATATCTCGGAAATGGAGATTTAAATTTGTGACGTACGTCACCAATGAGTGAGAGGGAGATAGATGCCGACTCAGTCGGTATGCCAGGGACGTTTTAAATAATGAGTGAGCGTAGGGATTGTTTTCAATATCGCCTTACTTGTCGTTTTTCGACGGTCATCCCGTATAGAGTTTAATTTACCTTACCTCTAACTATATTTACCTATGTATGTGTATTCGGCGGATGTGTCTCATGTACGGTGCCGTGTTTAACGAAAGGGGTTTAGAGCCCTCGCGTACGATCGGTCCCGGTAGAGTAGCAGCTTTTACAGAGAAGCTAAGCCTGGGACGGGTTATTCTCAACGGAAAAGTCGCACCCGTTGGAATAACGGCTTATTACAGGCAAAGATGAGCCAGGACAGGTTTACTCTCGATCCCAAAAAATCGGGCCCAGTGTAGGTAGTGACTTATTACAGACAAAGCTGAGCCAAGGATGGTTATTTTCGATGAAAGTCGGGCCCAGTGTAGGTAGTGGCTTATTACGGACAAAGCTCAGCCAAGGATGGCTATTCTCGACGAAAGTCGGATCCCTAGTGTAGTCTTATTACATACAAAGCTCAGCCAGAGGGATAGGCTATTCTCGTCGGAAGTCAGACCCATTGGATTAACGGCCTGTTCAGACAAAGCTGAGCCAGGACGGGTTTATTCTCGACCCCAAAAAGTGGGTGTGATTACCTCGGTATCGGTGAACCAGCCGGTAATCGGTCCTGATGCAGTCGCGATCCGCGCTTCTTATGGCGAGCGCCGTGCAATATCGCTACCGAGAAACAGCGAGAGGTCCGGTGCCATCTCGCGGCCGCGCTCGCGTCTCATCTCACGCTCGTGCTTTGTGACACTTCATCACAAATAACAAAGCGGTAAAGGATTTTTCGATTTGTATTTGCATGAGAATATGCATATTGCGGAATGTCCCATCTTTTTGGGACACCCTTATAAATGGCTAACAGTGTGCCTTGTAACCCAGTTTTTACATATCTGAGCATTGATTTAGAATGGGATTAAATTATAAAATATTGTGTTTTGTGTCATTTTACATTCTCTACATCGAACTTAGTGTGCTTAACTTTTATTATTGCTAATATGTATATATTTTCATAGTGGTTTATTATTGATTTGAAAAAGCTACTCTTATTTTATTCCTCAAATAATGCGATCGTCAACAACAACGTGTACTTACATACAAAACATTTTTCATGCAATTCTTCGATTCTATTATTTGTTATGAAACACCTTGTCTTCAAAATTTGATAAATGTTAATAATAAATCAAGAAAGTTACAGAATTCAAATATTTGTGGACTTTGATTTTTTTATTACGTATGTTGGATTAAGTGACAAATAATTAATTATAAATGATAAACATCCCACTATTATTACCACGGTTTGTTAATTAATAATAACTCTGGATTATATTTATGGAAATCAAATAATTCCTTAGAATAATAATGAATTTTACATGTGTTATTATTTTCTACAAAATTCTGCCATTTCAATCTAAAATTTTCAATGTTGAGCTTAGAAAAATCTAATGTCCACAAAATTTAGAGAGAAGCTTGTGTTATTTGTTAGAAGGTCAAATGCCAGAGTTTCATAATATTAAGAGTTAATAGTTGTGCATTGTGAAGTATTTTTAAATTTAAAAAAAAAAACAACAGTGCCATCTATTTCAACGCATTTCAAGCATTAATTTTTCATAATGAAATAAATCTGACTACTCCTGTTTGTCCAAAGTGTGGTTAGAGTATATACGTGTTATACGATTAACTGGAAGTTAAAATGAATAATTCAATATTTTTTAAATTAGCATAATTTTGAGAAGCAAAGTGTGAAAAAGAAATAAGGAAATGTTTATAGCAATATATGTTGTACCCTCATCTCTGGAAATTGACTCTGATATGTGTTGAGAGGCACGAGAACTTGATCTGCAAGCTTATGAGTGAAGTCTTGCCACAGCATATCTAGATTCTGAGCCTGCACATACAATAGATCATGGCCAGTCCACTGGCTCTCATATATCTCATTCAAGGAATCCATCAGGGTCTTTGACGCTGCTTGCACCGCTGTAAGAAAAAATTACGTGATTTAAGTCTTATGATGCACTTTTTTAGATTAAATTTACACAAAGGTAATGGTCTGCTTTCACGATTCTGAATCATTATTAAATCGTTCTACGAATGAATGTGTTAAATTAATCCATTTTTTGAGGTATACGATAATCTTCCTCTGCGACTCAAACATATACAACTCACAACGAGCAATACACTATCGATCTCCTCATAACTGCATTACCATTCATACCATATGCTTTGGTTGTGTTTAAAGTAGGAGAGACAAAGCAAAGTGCTCATCTCGGCGGCGACGGTAGATGAATTTGGCGGCTGTTCACTTAAAGTCGTTTTACCGTTTCTTCTGATGAAATTGGCGCGGACAAGTATGTTTTCATAAAATAGGTGGCTCATTCCACGCTAAATCGATCACATTATACACCCGATATCAGGAATTTTGTACGAAATGAAATATGTTGTAGGTTGTAGTCTTCGTGAAAATGGAGGGGGGAGGGGGAGTCATAAATATTTAGTTTAAAAAATACAAGCCTTTCAGTTTTGCGATTTTTACCAATTTTCTTGAAAATGGTTTGTACTTATGAATTTATACCTCGGAAACTGTCTATCGTATTCGGTAGATTCCTCTTTTGTTTTAATCGAGGAGGATTAAACTTCCTAAATAATTTTTTTTAAGTCGAAAAATCATTTTTGCAATACTAAACATTATAAACAAATTATTATTTTGCAAATTTTGGCTCGAGGTCACGATGTTAAAAATCCGAACAAATAATTTTCCATAAAATAAGCCTATCGGTAAGATGATACAATCCATATTAACGTCGCAGTTGGCTATTAAATACAGTGGTGAGCTCCAGTTTAGGTAAAAGAACCGGGCGCTCCACTATTACGGTCGACTACCGTACCGGTACCGCTCCAAATTACTTCAATGAGTTCTATAAATAATATAAAAGTGTCAATGATAATTTATAATTTATACAAATATAAAAAAAATAATTAAAATTTATAATATAATCAATAAATAAATAATATAATATTTGTACTTTTTTGTTCTTCATATTTATATATTCTTTTATGATGATATACTATTATAATTTCGTACTGATATTGCTTTTATGTAGTCCTCATTGAAATCTTTTTTATAATGAAAAAATTGAAATTCCAGTTTTCCGTATTTTATATTTCGACATGTAGTCTTCACGTACAAATGTACAAGAAAACGGATTAACATTTTACCAGAAGAATTGAAAAGAGTGCTAGTTTTTGGATGTAATGTTTAAACAGATAGATTATTCTGGAATTCAATCATATAGCTGGATTTCTTATCAAAACACACACAACATTGCAAATTATACCGTTGTTATATCTCTAATAGTTTTCGAGATAATTGGCTGAATACAGTTAATACTCCTAAATTTGAGGGCTGTTTTCACCCCCTTAATATGTATAAGAACAGCTAAACAGAAATACGTATCAAATATTTTTATGAGAACCACAATCTTACAGAGTTGTATCAAAATCGGCGATTATCAATTCGGGATGTTCCTTTGTGATTTCACTCTGCAACGAGGCCAAAGCAATTAGGCCATAAATAACCGAAACGTACGCTCTGGCCTCTGATAAGGTGCTCGGACAGGGCCAAGCAGCGTCAACTCAACACGAATTTATCGTTTATCCGTCAAGATCGAATAAGCAGTAAATAATATAAATATAGGATAATTATATTTTTATGTAATTCATGTGGTTATTCTTTGCTATACGGATAAGGAAAATCCGAAAACAATTCAAAATAAACTATGAATTACATACATCAGTGAGGGTCTCTCGAGCTCCAGCGACAGTTACTATGGTAGTTAAATGTCGGTAAGAATCTCGAGCTCAAGCTACCCACTTTTTGTCAGTAGCCTATCGATGTGAGTCAGAAATGACTCCGGCATCGGCCTCAACGTCCAGTACTCAGTGGGTTAAGCGCAGAGCGCTGGCGGGATGATCGATTGTTTCCGCGCATCTCACGGTTTTAAATACTTAGATTGCCAGATGTTTAAAAAAGTGTTTTCCTAATAATGTATGTGAATGTTTCGGGCCACACATAAAAGCTTGGCGTGCCGCAGGTTGAATTCGGCTGTACTAGAAACCCGTGACATTTTACAATCATAAAAAATTTACATGACAAAATTGAAACTTGTTTCACTCATGAGCGAGGGTTCTGATACGATTTACCTATGCCCCTTCAGACACAGAGAATTCAAAGGTTCCTATATTTTATAGTTGATCTATATTTGAAACCTGCTTTACTCTCGGCTCAGACTTGGACAGCTTTGCGCTGTTTTTAACTATTGTTCTACGTTTCTGTGTGACAAAAAAAATATTGTCGATACAGAGTAATAATAAAGGCACAGAAAAATTTCTGGCCTTGACGAAATATACCCCAAGAATGATTTGGAACAGGAAAGGAAAAAAATAGATTCTTAATCTGTATGAATGTGGCTATAGATGGTAGTAGATTTATTGACATATCTATTATCGTTTTCCTTTATTTAAAAAAAAGAAACTTTTCCTGATTTTCGAGCAATATTTGATTCATTTTCTTCAAAAGGCTGCTATTTTAACAATTTTTCATTCTTCTTAATGATTCTACTACCATAGATAGCCACATTCATACAAATTAAGAATCTCTTTTTCCTTCTGTGCTTCAGAGAATTCTTGGGGTCACATTTTGTCAACGCCAGTAACACTCGATTGTTTTTCAATGTCCCCAGTCTCAATTCTGTCTCAACAGTATTTTTTCTTTCGTCGTCACACAAAAATTTGGAGTAATAATTGAAGATATTATAAAACAACTTCGTAAACTGCGAATTAACCTTTTGAACAGTTTTTGTGCCAAAAAAATGCACAAAAAGTCATGTACTTTACGGCCTCCTAAGGTAAAATCCCCGCATAAAGAGTTAGTCCACTGTGGAGCTCAAAAATGAAAGCTATCGTTTGGCAATTTTTTGGCAGATATGGCGAAGTACATGGGAAATCTATTAAAAGTTGTTTAAAATAGCTTTCATTTTTAGTCTCCAAAGTATGCTAACCCCTTAAGCCACTATAGTATCTATCAGAGTACTTAACTGTGTCGAGGAATTATGTAAGTCGACCTGACTTATAATTGTCCTACAATTTAATTTTGTTCAAATATACTCACCTCTAACACACCTGATGTAATTATTGAACTCTTTCTGGAGTCTGTTGGCGGCATTTTGTTGTCTCATGAAGTTCTGCAGATGTTCGTCGAATATGTCATCCGCAGTTCTATCTACCTTTCCCAGATTTTGAAGGAACTAGAACGAGAAAGAAAAGCCTTGAACTACATAATTTAATTTCCACTGATTCTTGAAATATACAGTACTTTTTTCTATCAATATGTTATACAGATTATCACCGAATTGGAAATACAGGGTGTTTCAGTAAAGCAGGATTTTTTAATCGTTATAAGAAAACACCAAATTTATTAAAAAAATCTTTGTTTATTTATTATAAATTATATGGTAATTATATATGCAAAATAATATCTGATAAATTACCATCACAAGTTTATCTACAGGTAATCATTTTTTTATCAACTTTTTCTATAATATTTTCGCATAATTATAACTTAATGTTTTCAATAGCACTCAAGATTTCGTCCTTGAATCACTGGTTTAAAAAAAAACAACATTCAGTTTGACAATTGGCAGACATAATACAATAAAATCCCGCCTTGATGAAAGAATCTGTACAACTGAAAAAGGAATGGTGCGGCATAAAGAAAGAAATCAAAAATGTTACACCACGAATTTACGATGATACGGTTTATATATTCTTCATTGATTTTATCATGTACTAGCTATCAATTTGTAGTGCACGTGGTGTCAGATAACAGGTGTCAGAAAATTTAAAGGGTGATTACTGTGTAGAGAAGCACGGTTTGTTACTCGTTACAGTTAGAATATTTAATTGCAACACTTGAGGTGTAAAGGTAATATAGTAATGCCCGCTTAACTATCGCAGAATTATCCTTACAAATTCTTGGAACTGTTTGCACAGGGCGAGCATTGGCATTATCTGTGACGCGTGATCGGCAATGATTCAACTAGTACTGAGTCACCGAAATAAGAATAACATTTTCATATTCTTTACTTTATAATTATGGTCTTCTTTCAACCCAATTGCTCAGATTTTTCCAGTCAATACTGCACTTATACTACTACTGGACCCGGAAATGGGAGACTCGCGGGGTGATTTGAAACAAGTGTTTCCTTAGCAAAAATGTTATCCGAGGCTTTGTTAACGAGATATTAACGAAAAACCCCGACCAATCAGAGCGCGAGCCTGCCGGCCAAGTTCCCACGGTTAACGTTGGTTACGCGTTGCAATTGGTAGCCAACGTTAACCGTGGGAACTCAGCCGGCAGACTCGCGCTCTGATTGGTCGGGGTTTTTCGTTAATATCTCGTTAATAAAGCCTCGAATAACATTTTTGCTAAGGAAACACTTGTTTCAAATCACCCCGCCAGTCTCCCATTTCCGGGTCCTCCACTGTTATTTTAAGCGCTGATAAAACATGGTCTAAAGCACAAAATCAAATGAATGACTATCTAAGCAGAGTTAGTATTTGGCTTTCTTTAAATCAATTATCTTTAAATGTCATAAAGATTACATTTATGACTTTCGAAATACACTGTGATAGTGTGCCTGTTAATATGAATATTAACATAAATAATGAACCTATAAAAAGAGTTGAGCAATATAAAAATTTGGGAGTTCAATTCGATTATCACATGAAATGGGATAAACATATTGATTGTCTCATCAACAAGACTAAATAACTATTATTTATTTTTTCCAAATTAGTCAAAATTATGCACCCAAATTCTTTAATCACAATTTATTATGCCTTATTTCATAGCATCTGTAATTATGGTGTTCTTATTTGGGGTGGAGTATATGATAATGTATTGAACTCCTTACAAACTATGCAAAATAGATTATTAAATACATTAATGAAAAAGTTAGATAGTCTCAAATTACCTCTAACGTTTAAACAATCTCTTACTTTAGGAGCTCTAATTTATTTCTATCTTCACATCTAACAGAGCTATGCCCTGGCCCACTTACTTAGAATCATCTGTGATCATTTTGTATTATACTTATAGCTTTACACATATTTTTACCTAATATTAGAAAAAATAATCTTTTTCACAATGTCGATATTCTACACTTTCTATTTCACAAAGTCAGTTAATTCTTATGAGTTACATACTAAATTCATACAGTGCGAAATGATTTCCCATTTTTCTCAAAAGAGAAAGCAATTCAGAACATTATCTTACAAGGGAAGGCACGGAAGTGTCCCCCTCCGATTTTGATGAAACTTCGTATGTCTATTAAGCAGTCCAAAATAAGGGATACGTATTTTTTGTATCGTTTGAGACGCGATTTTAAGGAGTGAAACCATCCCTCAAAGCTTCGATCCGAAATTTTTTTATTATAAACAAATAATATTTTGGACAATTTGTTAGCGCCATATTATTCTACATAACAAAATCGCAAACCTCGTCCATTAGAAATTTTTATGCATCTCCTCTAGTTTTCGAGATAGTACTTTCGGGTCGAAACTTCGAGGGGTGGTTTGACCCCTTACAGTCGCGTCTCAGCCGATAAAAAAAAAAACGTATCTCTTATTTTTGACTGCTTAACAGATATACGAAGTTTCATCAAAATTGGAGGGGGACATTTCCGTGCCTTCCCTTGTTAGTCGTTCGGATTTACTATATACATTAAGATTATCGACACTGATGAAACTAAAAACAGCTAATATAAAGAAAATGTTCACTGATGTTTCATTTGACACTTTTTGGAAATTTTTGCATTAGACTTCTTTACCGATGTTTTCCGTTTGTATAGCAATTTGCGAAATAGTGAAATGGGACCATAGTGGCATAATAATAGCGTTTTAACGGAAGATTCGCGGCGTCTGCTCGTCTATTAATAAATTTGGAAGGGACCATCTATTTTGGAAACCATAAGCCCGTTCAAACTGAATTGCAACTGTCCTGAGCATATTGTTGACCTTTACGCGTGTTGCCATGGTAAAAAAGTAGGGAAAAAACGTTGGACATTTAAGAAAAGCTCACGCTTGTTGCCTTGATCTTGTGCCAAAACGGAAACAGAAAAAAGATTGGGTCATTCGGGCTTTCTTTTTCAGCTTATTGCGTGACGATCTGGTTTTCCTATTTATATCATTAGCTTGGTATACAGGGAGTCTGCTGAAACAGCAACTTCAATACGTTCCGTAAAGTCTATCTTGACAGAAAATATATTAACTATTAATGAAATAATTAATTTTGCAAAGTATCGGAGGTAAAACGCTGTTCGCAAACAATATTGTATTTTATAACTACTACTCGACCTTTTCGCGAACACAAACGGTTAAAAAATTTTTTATCGCTTGTTCAGTTCGTTAGTTATACAGCTATGATTTATTGAACATATATTAACAGCTATGATTTATTGAAAAAATATTGTCACTATATTTCAAACGGCTGTAAAATCAACAATTAAAAAAATATTGAGAAATCCTTCGAGTTGTCATTTTTACGGGAAAAACGTAAGGAATCGATTGGCCTCATTTTCGTGAAACTCTAATGAGAAATACGGAACTTTCAATTGAATTTCGATCGTTAAAATTTAAATATATATAACAGTTTCACTGTTGGCACTTTAACCCTTTTAGTGCCGGAGGCCGATATATCGGCTCTTGCTGCACTGGCGAGAAGTGCCAGAGCCGATATATCGGCCCGCGACTTATAGCGCTTTACTATTCGCATTGCGGGAGAACTCTATCTCAAAATAAATTTATAATACGTTATAAATGGTCTAATTTCATTACGAGAGAATTAAAAAAAATAGTTTTTCGTTTTAACTCTTTGTGGACGACGACTTTTTCCTATCGCTTGGAGCTAACGAAATCTAACAACAACACCGATGGTCGCCGCTCAGGCGACATCCGACCTGCGGCGTGAATCGCCGTGTCGTTGGGCCCTTATCGGAACATGTCGACAGCGTTTTATAAACAACTGTTTGAAGACTCTCACGAAATAAGATCGCATTGCCGCAGCGAGACGTAGGATCGGTTAGTTTTTCTTCGATCGTTGTCGTGAGCAGTATATTTCGTTTTGTCCCAGTGACAGTCTGATTATATCACAAATATATTTATGACAACATAATTTTGTTTCAGCAATGTTATATTACCTATAACAATTACGTATTTCGGAAGAGATAATCCGTCCGGCGCTTACCATGTACCTTCGAGTTATTTTTTATGTTTGTTATGTAATATTATTTATCTTGTTACAAAATATATCGGAAATGCAAAGTATATACTTTGTAATAAATGGTCTATATAAAATTATGATGAAAAGATGACTTTTTGTATGTGCAAATACGTTTTGTAAGAGAGAACTGGACTTTTACTTTCTTTATGATCTTTTATACCTTTGTTATTTATATAATTTGCAATGAATATAGAAAAACTAGTGTCATTGTTTTGTTCTCTATTTCGTCCTTAATATACTGCTTTTTGAATCATGTAAATATTGTTTCTTGTTTGGTTTTTATGACCATTTTCCCAAACCCTAGTAAAACCGTGAAATTCGGCCGGTTATTTTCGCATAGGCACCTCTTTTTCGCCTGGCACTAAAAGCGTGAAATACGAATATCTACACAGTTACTCGCTGGAATTAGTTTTTGGTCATTTAAATTTACAATTGAAACTATTACACATTTTTAACGTGCATTTAACCCTTGAAATGTAAATTCGAATATAACTATGACTATCTAAATTAATTTGACTGTTATCTGCTAAGAGTTAAATTAGAATACGAATGTAGCATATATACTGATACACCAAAATGGCCGGTGGAATTTTAATTATAATTACAATAAGAACAGAGAATATTATCAAACCATACAAGTACACGCGTTGTGCTTTCTCAAATATGGGAACACAACTACCTACTCACAGAGATTAACAGTTCCCTAATAGCGTGACGTCGAATGGTAGAGAGCGTGGAAAATATTCGGGAATCGTTAGGAATCGAGAGGCGTTATCGCCCCTCCAATCCGTTGTATTAGTTCAGGCTCCTTTCGTTTCTCACTTCGGAGAGGCATCTCGACTCAGCTGGTCGAGCTAACGGAACCATCCGAGGATGTGTCGTCCATCTTTCTTTCGTCGAACCGGCCGTTTCATGAGCCAGGGTATAGGTATGCCGAGACAGTTGACCGATACCCGTGATCAGTCT